CTGTGTTGTCAGGGCCTTAAAAACCCACATGTGTACCAATTTCTTTCAGTATATTAAATACACATTGATTGGAAAGATATGACAGAATAAACCAGGAAAGTAATATAGCTTAGCAAGACATCTACATTAAATGGCACTAACAACTGATGGCTCATAAACTGTATATGGTTATCACTTGAAATTGCATTATTTTCGTATATCTGATCATATTAAATTACTTCAGTAGACAGTTGTGTCTCTACTGTGTTTACATCCTGTGTTTCTAGGACATACCAGTGATGCAACAGAGGAAAAGAAAAATTTTCTCCTTGGAAGCACAGACTATATTATACTCTTTTAACTACATGTTTATGAACATAACATCTATAGGGCCTAATGAGAACTCATTGATTTAAAACCAGAAATTTTACTTTTTTGTTTGTTTTGGTTTGTTTGCTTTGAGTGCTGGAGATTGAACCCAGGACCTCATTGATACTAAAGCATCTGCTTTCTCACAGACTTATGACCCAAGCCTCCCAAAATTTTAGTTTTGCTTTTTAAAAAAGATTTTAGAAATATCTTCTAAGAACAAGTATCTGTCATGAATGTTCTATGGACACAGTTTGTAGAATGAATTCTTACGTATTCTTTTGTGATATGCTGATTCATACTGTTTTACTTGTTCTTTAGCAAAAAACTAATACACATTTATATTTAGCTGTATCTCATTAATGTAGTGGATATGATATAGTACCTCCAAATAGTCCAAATAATATAAGGAAAATGTAATTCCTTACTTGCTAGGTGTCTTGATACACAGAGTTCATGTTCTCCAAAATCAAAGAATGAATTCTAGAAACAATGGAAGTTAAGAGTAGGACGTATTTATTGAGAGAAAGTTTCTGTGTAAGGAGACAAAAGAGGGTTCCGAGTGGATTACTGTGGAACCCGACTTTAATAGAGCTAAATCATGAGGTGCGGCAGGTATAAGGTGATACAGAACTATAGTTAACTAATAAGATCACAAGTGTAGTTGCTTAGGTAGTATTGATCCAATGGAAAATCACAAGGTGGATATGAGGTAGGAAAAAATTATAATAAGATTGCAAGTAAAGATGCTTAGGTAATCTCGATTAAATGGGGAAGCCAGTCCTGAAGCTAGCATATGTGGAATGGAACAAGCAAGGACTTCCCAGGAAGGAATGGGCTAGGGAGGCGTTGGTCCTCCAGGGTGTAGTCTTTTCTCTGTTCTGAGGCCTGACCTGCAACAAATGCGCCTCCAGCCACAGTTGTCTGCCAAGGGCCTAGCACTGTCTAACCGCCTATAATATATCTACTTAACTGATCACCTATAATATCATTGCCTCTCAAATGTAGTTTACTTTTATTTACCTGTGACTAAATGAACCACTTTTCAAAATGGTCTTACTCTTCACAATAGCTAATACTTACGTACTTTTGTGCGTTAGATTCGAAGGTAGTAAGTCGGATAGATGTATTATCTCATTTAATTCTCATAAATTCCTATAAATTAGGTACTATCATTGTCCTGATTCTTCATTTTAGTTTATTAATATTTAGAAAAGCATCACTTATAACTGTTCATTTAACATCTCATTTCAATACAAGTACTGAAACTGTTAATGTAAGATTCAAACTTTTTTTGTCTTTTTTCCTCTCCCTCTCTTATAAGATATTGAGCATCCTGAGAAACTGGACTAATTTGCTGGAGTACATGCAAGGATTAAGGGGCATAATGGATTTATAGTTGCTGAAACCTGTAAGGAGACCTCAGAGCCCTGAGCAGGTTTTTTTTTTTTGTTTTGTTTTGTTTGTTTTTTAAATTTTATTTAAGGAGAAAAGAAAAAAGAAGCAGGGAAAGGGTACAAGTTATACAGATTTACAGAAAAAAAATGAACAGTAGGAAATCACTAGTTAATGGATTACATATTGTCATCTTAGAAATAATTGTTCAAGTCACAAAATTAAAGCTTGTAAAGTGGACATTCCATCAATGATACTGCAAACAGTTCTGTTCATTGATCCAATAAAACTCTGTGATATCATTTTCTATCTTATACACTTAAATATACATGCAGTTATATAGTTTGGAGCACTTTCTTTTCCTTTCTTTTGTATCATGACTATTACACAGTTTGGGTTTCATTGCTCCCACGGTTCTTATTACTTTTTTGGAAGAGAGTAAAACCAAATGTGACATAACAGAACAGAATCGGTCAAGTCAAAAGGGTGGACATAATAGATAATGTAAAAACATAATACAAGGTGATCAACAATGGTTACCATAATGCCTCCCGCTATCTCTAATAGAATTGCCTATATCATTAGTTATAATACAATTGAACAAAACAGTAAAGAATAAAACCGACAAAACCAAAACATTGGAAACATTGTAGGTCTTCAAAAGTAGATAAAAGTCAACAAGAATGGGCGTCATAATGAATCTCATTATCTTCACAGCTGATGCCTAAACTTTTGAACCTGATACTATCCAGCAAAACAGAATAGGGGAACATCAGTTAAAAACCAGATGGTGAGAGTAATACAGGGCTTCAAATCAAGGTAATGAAAAGTCAAAGTGGGTTACTATAATATATCCTGCTATTTTTTTTCCTTTAATTAAAAGGATAAAGATAAAAAAGTAAATAATGGAGTGGAGATTGAGATAAAAGAGGGCATAACAACGAAACAGCGCAGATCAAAACATAACCATTTAAGCAGAATAGTGTTTCACCACCAGATAATCCTGACCTAAAAGTAGTTACCATACTGTTTCTTTCTTTGAAATCCTTGAATACAACTTCGTATACTGTAGCATTAAGTATATCAAAACAATGTAAAACCATTCAAGAGAATGACAGCATTACAGAGTATTTAGAATCGACTAACAGAAAATGAACAATGGTTTCTGTATAATCTCCTTGTCTTTAAAAGGTTTTTGCTTATACTATTGTACATAATAAAATCCAATAAGATACAGCCTATTTAGACCATTGAAGACAGAAGGACAAAAGCTAGATGAGACTTCAAAACAAGATGATACTAAATCAGTATTACCTATTAAGATGTCATTTTCTCCAAAATAGCTGTTCCTATCATCCAATCTTCTCTGCCTCATTTCTGTTAAGCTCTTTTTCTGTCAGTAGCTGTCAGTTTGTCTTCTTCATTTTGTTCTCTGCTCCATTTGTTGTGGCCTCTCTGCCATTATTTCTGGATTCTTTGTATTTTTCTTTTTTTAGAATATCCTGCAATACTCTCTGTAGAGTTGAATTGGTGGTTGCAAATTCCCCCAGTTCCTCTTTATCCTGGAAGCACCTTGTTTTTCCATCAATTTCCAGGGACAGTTGTGCAGGATATCTCAATCTTGGCTGGAGATTATTATCTTTCAAGGCTTGAATTATTTCCCCCCACGCTCTTCGTGATTTGATCGTTTGTGCAGAGAAATCTGCTGTAATTCTGATGGGTGTTCCCTTGTAAGTGGTCTGTTTCTTGTCTCTTACAGCTTTTAATATTCTGTTCTTGTATTGAATTTCTGGAATTTTTATTATTATATGCCTGGGTGTTGCTCTGTTTGGGTTGTAGGTAGCTGGGGTCCTGTATGCCTCATACATCTGAGTATCTTTACCTTTTGCTAAATTAGGAAAATTCTCCTGGATTATTTCTGTGAGTAGCTTTTGTAGTTCACTTGTTTGTGTCCCTACTTCTTCTTTTATGTTCTTAATCCTTAAGTTATGGATCCTCTTATCATCTTCTTGTCTTTGTATTATTGCTGTTTGTTTCTTTGTTATTTTTAAGAAGTTTTTCATTTCATTCTCCCATATTACAAGTCTGCCCTCCAGTTCAGATAGTCTGTCCTTAGTTTCTTTCAAGCTGTTATGCCAGTCTTCTATAGACTTCTTAGTATCTTGGTAGTCCCTTTGAACCTGCTTCACGTATTCTATGCTTTCTCTGTTTTCTCCATCAAACAATTCTCCCCTTTTTTTCTGTTCTTCCATTCCACCACCTGTTTTTTCTTGGGTGGTACTTAGCATTTCTCTAACTATTCTGCATACTTCTAGCTTCAGGTCATTGATAACTTCATTCCTGAATTGGTCTATGAGGCTCTCTATATGGTGCCTTATGTGTATTGGTGCGGTGTCTGCTATTGCCTGTTTCTCAGAATTGGGGGCCGAGGAGCCTTTCTTGTTGCTGCCTCTTCCCATGCTGCCTCTTCTTCTCTGTTCCTTATATATGCAAGCTTATATAAGAGGCCCAGCTTCTCTCCCAGTCAGCCACAGCCTGATCGAATTGCGCCAGTTAGTTGTTCCCGCTCACCGCTGCGCACCAGGGAGTTACGGACCAGGCAGCCTACGCGTCTCCCCTCCCGGCCACCGTCAGGCTCTGGGATCTGGGTTGGGACAGTCTACCAGGTCCGCCGGCAGCGTCACGCAGGCCAGGCACTTTTCACCAATCCCGCCCGAGAGGGGGATGTGTGGCTGGAGTCGGCCACCGCGCCCTGCTCCCACAGGACTGCTAGGGCCCAGAAAGTCCTCTGCTGGAGTCAAACTGTGGTAGAGTGTCAGTTTCTCTCACTCACCTCGCCACAAGTCAGTGCACGCCTCCCTGCCGTTCGCAGATTGCCGTTCTCAGAGCTTCTGCGCGTCTCTCTCCTTGCCGAGCCGCTGTAGAGGCAGCCAGCCACCGCGCGGCGGGAAACCCAAATCGCGGCTTACAATGGCGCGGTTCCAGCCTCCACACCGAGGCTTTTCTGTTCCTGTTTTAGCACCAGGACTGCATTCCAAGCTGGCTTCTCTCAGCCCAGTTCGTTCCTGAGTCAGCAGAGCATATCTCCACCTGCTTATGTCTCCTTAGTCCGCACCATTCCTGGCTTCTGAGCCGCGTCTTTCAGAGAGCCTCCGGTAGTTGCTGTTATCTGTCCGCCATGTTCTCCCGGAAGTCCTGAGCAGGTTTTTTATATGAAGTTGCTTGCTTCTCAGGCAATTCTGTTCCATTTCTCTTAGGTTATGGAGGACCTCTTCAAGGCTACAACAATGTCTGTTCTCTCAAATTGTCCTGAAGATGTTGAACTCTGTCACAAATTCATAGCTCCTGGCCACAAGGTAATTAGTTTTGTGGATAAAGCCCAGTATAACTGCTCTTTAAATATGTTAATTACATGCAATGACTATAATTACATTATAAATTTTTTCTTCTTTGTCTTTTCTTACCAAGGACAGATTAGAACATATGCTAAAAAACAACTTTTTAATGTAAGTAAATACTTTTATTTTTTCTGAACTTTACTCATACTTTATCATTGTATTTATTACATTGAATTTTAAGTTTTTGTTTTTAAATCTGCTTACCATACTTTCCAGATATGAAGCAAGGTCTGTTAACTCTCAAGTACTTTAAATCACTTCAAAATTACATAAATACTAATACCAAAAACAAGCCACATAAGTGACTATAACTGTCCTAAGAAGCAGCATGATTAGATTCCCAAGAAGTTTAAATAGCTATAATGATAGCTATAATTCACATTGTTGGAGGGAAGGACCTGTCATCTTAGAACTAAAACTGTAGGCAGCAGTCACATGTAAAACTGGATAGATATGTTCCATAGTTGAAGTATATTAATCCTTGTGTTGTTTGAAAGAAAGGGAGAGATACTTACTCACTTTAGACTGGTTAAGTGAAATATTCATGTTAAAACATTCAGAGCAAGCACTAAAAGCATAATAGCATGATGATGTATGTTCATAGTAATTATTGAATTAATGTCATCACAGAGAGATGGAAAAGTGTTTGGGGGTGCTCTTCACCAACTTGCAATCATCCTTCAGCTACCTCATGCTCTTTAAGACATTGACTGAAATTTCTGAAAATATAGGCATATCCAAATCTACCTCTGAGTAGTCTTTTTAAAAAGTAAAGGAAAACAAATAAGATACAGAGATGGCAAAATAAAGTATTGTCCTTTGTATTGTTAATTGTTAATGTATGTAGTTGTTTAATGTATGCAAAAATACTACATGATCTGTGCCTTTTAAATACAGATTTCATATATCATTCAGTACATGCTTAAATAGTTTTAAATGAAAATATATAAAGGGACCTTTATTTGGTATTCATTTTTTGAGTATTTGAATTTGAGGCAAAAAAATGTCAAAAGTGATCTCTTTTCAGTTTTATTCCAACTTCATTTAACTGTGAAAAATGTGGAATATGAAGGTAGTTTGATTCTGTGTCATGTAGTATCACAGTGTCTTTTTCCTTCTCTCCTGGAAGCACTTTGGAATCAGTTTCTGGAAAGGAAAAAACATGCTATTATTCTTTGTATATATCAAGAAACAGTACTTAGCAGGGTGAGTTGTTGATGGGTCATTAAGGATATCCAGTGTCAGAACTGTAGCTTGAAAGCATTATCTTAAAGCAAAGTGTTAGGAGAGTGGATCAGAGGAGATACTTATCCCTGTAAGAGATATTTAGAGGTCATTTTTTTCTTAATAATGAAGCAGTAACGTACCAATGATACAAAATCCTACTGCTTCCCATTTTGACTGTTCTTAGTATTTCTTGGTGTAACTGTAGAATCATATAAAGAAATTGTAAAATAAAATAATAAAATGTGTAAACACACTAGAACTAAAAACTCAAGGTACTGTGTTCTTATTTTACGGTTGCAAATATTTACTTTTTTAATGTTTGTAAAACACATTACAAAGATTGGTAACATGATTTCACCAAGTTGCAGTGATTTACATTGTTACTAAGTGGTAAACTGGGAGGAAGGACTCTGAGCCCATTATCTTTTGTTTTGAGTAACAGTGAAATTTGAACACTTTTAGGCATTATATTATCAGTTAAAGCAGAGATGTGGAAGTCAGCAGATGAGGATTTATTATTTGCTTTACATGACTAATCATTGGCCAGCTACTTATTGTTTCAAAGCTTCAATTTCTCTTAAGTAAAATAGAAATTTTAACATTATTGTTGCAGGCCAGGTGTGGTGGCATTTGCCTATAATCCCAGTACTCTGGAGGCTGAGGCAGGAGGTCACCATGAGTTCAAGGCCAATTTAGGCTACAGAGTGAATTAAAAGCCAGCCTGAACTGCATAGCGCAATCCGGTCTCAAAAGATAAAATAAAATTATTGTTACTACTATGACTCTAACAAGAACCATTATTACCTTAGAAGTTACATATTTTTTAAGACCAGGTTTTGATTTTTAGTGAAATTTCATCTTCTAAAAACATACTTTTAGGGCTGGGGATTTAGCTTAGCATAAACGCCTGCCTGGCAAGCACAAGGTTTAAAATTCAATCCCTCGCACAAAAAAAATAAAAAGAAAAACAATAAAATACTGTCACTTAAACATAGCGTTGGGGGCTTTATTTGTATTGTAACACAAAACTATCTAGTTGGCTTTAATAGGTAGGAAATTCACTTTTTCTCAGAACACAAGTTTGTACTGGATAAATTATTTTTTTTAGCTCAAAGTTCCTCAAAAAGTTTGTAATTTATTTTTATTCAAAATACTTGTGCACTATTTTTCCTGCACTTTGTAAGGTTGCTGACATTTTCATTTGTTACTGATGTGCATCAGTTATATAACTCTATAAGAGGGGATCAATATCTTTGATTATATCTTTCAGAATATGTAAAAATTACAGATTATAACTGGGCATGGTGGCACTTGCCTTTAGTCCCATCACTCAGGAAGCTGAGACAGGAGGATCACCATGAGTTGGAGGCCAGCCTGAGCTATAGAGTGAGTTCAAGGCTACCCTGAACTACAAAGCAAGATCCTGTCTCAAAAAAAAAAAACAAAACAAAACAGGAAAAGAAAAAAAATTACAGATTTTGATCCAACAATTCTACTTCTCAAGTACATAATTAGTATATAAGAATTATGTGTAGTATTAAAACAACAAGATTCCCTCTTACTCCAAAAATAATAATAAACATCAAATAACAATAAATGCTGGCAGGTTGAAGGAGGAAAAGACTTCTTCTGCATTGTTGGTGGGAATATAAAGTAGTACAGCCTCGATGAAAAGATTCCCCAAAATTAAAATTAGAAATTCCATTCCATCCAGCTATTGTCCTAAGTACCTTACAAAAGAGTCAAATACACCGTATTTCAGTGGAATATACATACCATATTTATAGCAGCACAACTCATAATAGCTGAATCTTGGAAGTGGCCTATATGTCCATCAGCTGTTGGGTGGATAAAGAAAATGTGGTATTTATACACAAGGAGTTCTGCTCTCCCACAAAGGATAGGCTTGAGTCATTTGTAGGAAAGTGGATGAACCTTGGGACAGTAATGTTAAGTGAAGTGAATCAGACGTACGAGTTTCTATCATATGGTTTCTGTTATATGAGAAATCCCAAATATAAATAGAGAACAAAATAAAAGGTAGTGGAAAATAGAGAGGTAGATCTTTTGCAGATGAAAAGAGGACCAAGCAATGGTGGGAGGGAAGGGAAACGGGATGAAAAAAGGATCAACGATGTGTTCCACACATGTACCCACTCCCCCCAAAGAATGTAAGCAATTATTGCAAATGTGCACTAATAAATACTAAAACTGAAAAAATAGAAAATGAGTGATTTGTAATAACGTTAAATAGAAATAGGTAGTCATGATTTGTAATAGCAAAACAATAGAAACATGTGAAAAATTTATCAATAAATAGCTGGTTAGCCAGGCGTGGTGTCGCATGCCTGTAAAGCCAGCACTCAGGAGGCTGAAGCACTCGGGAGGAGGATCTCTGCAAGTTCGAGGCCAGCCTGAGTGAGTTGAAGGCCAGCCTGAACTGCATAGTGAAACCCTATCTCAAAAAGACCTAAATAAATAAATAGCTGGTTAAACTTAAACATAATTCACCCACAAAATGAAATATTATGTAATAATTCAAAAAATGAAGTTTTTGTGCCTGATAGATCAGCAAGGTGTATTACTGCATAAAATAAGGTATAAAAGAGTATGTATGAATGTCATGATATTCACTAAAAAGAGATTATTAGTATTTCCTTATGTATATATGTATATTTTTTTTATTCCTCTAGAAGAATACACAGAAAACTAGTAAGAGTGAATGTATGAGAAGAAAGGAACCTGGTGATAGGAGCTAAGTTACTTCAGCAAGGAGGTAGATAATTAGTGTATAAAGACTATTTATAAGAGCATTAAATATAAATATGTAGTTTCATTTGTTTTTTCAGAGATGAGGTCTAGCAAGCTCGTCTTCCATTCCTGTGCTAAAGTGATCCTGCCACATCAGTTGCCTTAGGAGCAGGGTTTTGTGTGATGTTTTATGCATATCGAGGGGGTTTTCCCCCCACTATGTGGCTGTATTACCTGTTTACACTTGACTTGTCTTCCATTAGATGTGAGAATTTCTTATTAAAAGAACCAATGATATTTTTCTTAAAGGTCCTTATAGTACTTAGAATATATTACTAAGTCCTCACTGTGGCCTGAGAAAGTCCATATGATGTGATTTCTGACTGCTTTTTCTATCTGATTTTCTGGCGTTCTTCTGCAAGTTCAATGTGCACCAGCTGCAATGACCTTTCTGGGTCTTCGGCCAGCCAGACTGTTTCTCACTTTAGGTCCTTACACTTGTTGTTCTTTTTGCCTAGAACATTTCTCCCCCGACACTTATATAATTCATTTTTCACTTCATGCAGGTTTATCTTCAAATGTCACCAACTTAGTGAGGCCTTTCTTGACCATTTTATCTAAAATGACACCCTCAAACACCCCGTTTTTTCTTACCTCACTTCATGTTTCTTCATAGCACTAATACATATCTAGCATTACCTTCCTCCCTGCTCTCTTCTCTCCTCTTCTCCTATTCCTGCCTCCTGTCTTCTCTCTCTTCTTTCCTGCTCCCTCCTTCTTCACTTCTCCCCCACTCTCCTCCCTCGCCTGTGTCCCTGCCCTCGCCCATCCATCATGTCCTCATGAAGTTATGGCCTTTGTTTCTGTTACTATGTGCAATGCTGTAACATCTAGCAGATGCCAAATATATGTTTGTTGGATGAATGAGACTTCTAGGAAATTCTATTGCTCTTTCATCAGTATTTCATAACTTTTTTATATGGCATTGGTATAACGTGGATTCAAAGAAAATCTGTACTTGCTGAAGTAACTTAGCTCCTGTACATTACAAATTCATCAGGAATGGTGTTATTGAACAGCCGCTTCTCTTCATGCAGATCAGAACTTCATGGAATTAGATCAACTTTAATTCCTGATTACTCAGTATTCATGTATGACCTGGCGGACAGTATGGGATGAGCTTTTTGCAGTTTTAAGATGCCCTAGCTAACAGCAGACCCATTGTGTTAAACCTTTCTCTGCTCTTTCCTTGTTTTCCTCCAGCATTTCTTACACCGAGGCTATAGAGATCTTAAGGAAAGCATCCCACAGCTTCACCTTCACCCCCAAGGTAGAAAGTTGCATTCTGTGTGTCTGTGAAATGTTCCCTCTTGTCCTTTGTCCTTATCTTAATTAAGAATGCTTCACAATAATCTTATCTCTCTTATAAGATGTCTATAGTATTTTCTCATCTCTACATAGCCTTTGATGTTTGCTGAATCTTGTTGAACTATTTAGAATGAAAAATAATTTTGAAATAGAATTGTATCATTTGAAGTAGCAGTGACTAAAGGGCTATACACAAGTCCCTTGAGTGTGGGAATATGAAAATGATAAAAGTGATAATCATAGAGTATTACTGTGGAAATCAACTAGTTCACTGTTTCCCAAAGTATATTCTGGATGATATTGAAAGGTGACAGACAAAAATGGCTATATAATTAAGTAAGTTTAGGCAACATGTTTTTTTCTCCATTGAATTTTGTAGAGCCTTTAATTTTGAACCACTCAAAATGGCCCTTTTTGAAGAATTTTGTTTTTTAAATACTTATTAATTAAGATTCAAGGTATATCGTGTGATAATTCACTGTACGTATACATTGTGTAATAATCATCACAATCAAATTAAGGAGCATATCTGTCACCACCGCTACATTAGATCTCCAGAACTTGTTCATCTTAGAACTGGAAGTGTGTGCTCTTTGCTCAGCATCTCTTTATTTCCCCAGCCCCAGCCTCTGACTACCCTTGTTCTCTCCGTTTCTGTGAAAGAGCTCCTTTATTTTATTGCCAAGCATATAGGTCCATACAGGCCACACACAGGTCCATACAGGATTTGCCATGTTAGAGGCAAATTCTCCTTTCTAATCCAGTCCTTTTCTCCAGCCACTGCCACCTGCCCCTGCTGCCACTCCTGGTGCCCTCGTGTGCTCCTTTGGTGCAGACATGGTACCTCTTTCATGAAGCAACAGCTGACGGTGGCCCACACAAAGGAAGAAGTCAAGACTGAGAACAGAGATCATACTGATTTAATCATGTAACTTCTTTTGTCTGTCACCTTTTAATATCATTCAGAATATTGCACTTAACTAGTTGACTTCCAAAGTAATTACTGATGAGCTAAGTTGCCCAGGCGAGGCTCAAACATGTGATCTTTTGGTCTTAAAATTTAAAAATAAGTAAAAAGGGCTGGGGATGTAGTTTAGTGCAAAAGCCTTGTGTTCAGTCCCAATACCACCAAAAATGAATATGTGCATACATACACATTAGAGCATCTAATATGTGAGTTGACGTGTTTTTAAAACTTCACCAAGAGAAGCCATCTAGCTAAAGATAGACTCAATATTAGGAACATTATCTTCCCTCATTTAATTTCCTGAGATTTAGGATCAGTAACAGTGGGAGAAGCTCTGGGCAATATTAATAAAAACTTGCAGTTCTGAAGTAAATTTTATCCCTTTGGAAAGTAAACTTTGTTTTCCTATGGGCTACGATTCAGCAGCTGAAGGCTGCTCCCTGAGACGGGACTTTCATCTTCCCAGGCAGTTGGCCGGGAGTATCTCGCTTCAGTTTAGTCAGCTGTGTAACCTCAGCGGAGAGCTGTACACAACACAGAGCCTCAGGGAGAGGAAGCCCGTAAAACCAATAGAGGTCATCTGGGGGTGCTTTATTGTATATTTGCGCTCCATCTTCCTTTTCTGTCATTAATTTTCTCTCATTACAGTGGGGTGTCGATCTACAAACCGAACATGAGAAGTACCTGGTGAAGCACTGTGGCGACATACCAGTCTTTGTCACTAATTACCCACTAGCACTCAAGCCTTTCTACATGAGGGACAATGAAGACGGTCCTCAGCACACAGTAAGAAGTGCCTAAATAAGTGGGGGCTCATCATCTCCAAGTGTGGGTTCCCCTCCTTGGCTTAATTTTCTCTCTTGGCATACTTTTTTAAAATGATGTCTGTTACTCTTTTCATCCCATCAAATGAAAATACTTTTCAAAGGTGCCTCCGAACAAGCATTGCCAAAGACGATCCCAGTGTTCTCTAAACATAATTCTTCATTTCTGCTGAAAGGTGTCCTCCTTAGCTTAGCAGATGCAGATGGAGATGAGTTTGGTTTGGCTTTTGTTTAAACAGTTGGGAGGAAATGGCCTAGAACTCTGAACAGTAATATCGGGTCTGCTGGCAAGTTCAGTATTAATTAGGAGATTCCTGTAGGAGAGCGTGCCGGGCAGCAGACAGTGGCATGATCAGACAGAGAAGGAGGCAGCTTATGGAACACTTTAGTTTGGACTATAAAGAGAAATAGTAGGGCGAGGCAGCGGATGAATCAAGGAGAGGTAGGCAGATTCTGCCCATCACAGGCCTTGTCTGTCTCCCCTTCATCATCCTGTCACGGTTCTGAGTTTGATTCCTGGATCCTGCCTAGGTCTTAAGTTTGATTCCCAGTACCAAAAAAAAAGAAAAAGAAAACAAAAGGCTTCCAACTAAATTATACAAAGTTCTCTGTTTGAATATATTTCCTGCCTTCTCTTAAAATATTAATAGAACAGTATTAGTCCCCATTTGCTAGATTGGGGCACATTCTATCGTTTTATAATTCTGAAACAATTTTGCAAAGAACCTTATTTTTTCCCTGTTTTATTTTTATTTTTAAATTTATTGTAAAGAGAAGAAAACCCAGTGAAACAATATAGTATAAAGCCAATCAAAACAAAGCAGTGAAAGTGGTACAGAACTTCAAAACAGGATACTAGGAAATCAACAATGGCTACCATAATATATATTGCTATCTTCACCAGTAGTTGTCCATACCATCAGACATAGCAAAATCAAACAAAACAAAACAGAATAAAATCAATCAAAACATAACATTGAATAAAACAAAACAGTGAGAACAACACTGCACATTGTTGTCTTTAAAAGTTGCTCAGGTTACCAGACATTGGGATAAAACAAAATAGTATGATGGAACAAAACATTGGATTTCAAAAACAAGACAGGAGAATATCCCCCCAGTTGACACAGTGTACACAGCCATCCTCCAAGTAAACACCCAGATTGCCAGTCCCAGGGCTGCAGAGTCAACTAAACAATACAAGCATCAAGCTATTCCCTTCCCCTCAGTATCTCACCTGGAGTCCCCTGAATCAGTGCAAGGGGGCAGATGCTCTTCTGGTTTTTCAGCTCACACACTGGCTGGCTCATGGGAAGGTGCAGTGTCTCTTCTGGCTGAGACTCTTACCGATCAGCATGGTGGAGCCCACTTCACAGAAGGCTTAGTTTCTCTTCTGGCTAAGGCTGTTGCCAATCTACATGGTTGATCTGCTTCATGAGAAGATTTGGTTTCTCTCCTGACTGAGGCTCTTACCCATCAGCATGGTGGAGCCTGTTTCACAGGAAGGTGTAGTTTTCTCCTCCTCTGTTTTTTTTTTTTTTTTTTTTTTTTTTTAATTTTTTTTTTTTGTCTTTTTCATTTTTATCGGTACCAGGGATCGAACTCACGACTGCCTGCTTGCAAGTCAGGTGCTTAGCCGCTGAGCTAAATCCCCAGCCCCTCCTCCTCTGTTTTATAAATGAAAAACTGCTGGGGATTTAGCTCAACTGCAACATGCACCTGCCTGGCAAATGCAAGGTCATGAGTTTGATCCCTGGTACCAAAAAAAAGAAAAAGAAAAAGAAAGAAACAAAGAAAGACTAGAGTCCAAAGACATTGCTTATAGTTCACTCTTAGCACCATACTTAAACCTACCCATCCCGCACAGAGCACCCTTCTAATAGTCTTTTTTTTTTTTTTGTCTTTTTCATTTTTATCGGTACCGGGGATTGAACTCACGACTGCCTGCTTGTAAGGCAGGCGCTTATGCCACTGAGCTAAATCCCCAGCCCCTTCATATAATAGTCTTTAAAGGAGCACTTTCAGTCAGTCAGTTCTGGGCTCCCGTAAGTTCTTTACTCTCTGTAAAAACGTTTCTGGGTTACCAGATACTATGAGCCTCTCATTAATGGCATTCTGCAGCATTTAGGGAATTAGTATCTGTTTTCTGTAGTTCCTATACAAATTTTGTTTTGCTATCTCAAGTTAAACTCCTCTTTAGGGTTATGATTGCATCAGTAATGACCTCAGCTTAATAAATGCAGAAAGTTTCAAGGGTCTTTGACTTGACCTCCCAGTACTGTTACTGCCTTCTTATTCTTAAAACTCTTGCCTCCCTTGGCTTCTGCAATGCTGCATGCTCCTGCTTGTTTCCATTTCACACTGGTTATTCTTTCTTAGTCTCCTAATCAAATACATTTCCTTCTGCTAAGGATCAGACACGAATTTCTCAAGTTTGGTCCTGGGTCTTCTTTTCACTTCCCAGGTGATTTCATCTTACTGTTTATTCTCAGGTAACTGGGCAGTGTTATGTTTATAATGCAGATTTCTTTAGGCTCTTACCTCAGATGTCTCACTGCCTTGTTGACTGCTCTTTAGATACCTCAAAGGCATCTTAAATGTAACATGTTAAAACTGAACCCATGACTTCTCTTTCCTTCCCCCAACCACACTTGTCTGTCAGTATTCTGTTAATGAAAATCGTACAAGTCAGATACCTGAGTCATCTCTGAATATCTCTCTCTCTGTCTCTCTCTCCCCCTTCCTCCCTCCATCTCTCCCTCTCTTCCTCTGTTTCTCTCTTTCTTTTGTATTCAAGAGATTACTGAGTTATCACTTTTACCTCCTAAATCTCAAAACCTACTGGCTTCATTTCTACATTCACCTTTTTGGACCTACAATATCTTCATTTCCTACTTGGACTACTCCAGGTAGGAGTATAGTGTGTGTGTGTGGGTGTGGGTGTGGGTGTGGGTGTGTGTGTAATAGTATATAGCATGTCAGTAGCCTCGTAACTGCTCTTTCTACTTTCTTACTTTCTGTTCACCTGAATCATTTCTCATTTCATTTTAAGGTTTTAGAAAATGTAAATCTGATTGTTAGCTCCCGTCTTGTTTTTCCGGTGGCCTCCTACCGCTCCTAGGTTACAACCCAGAGTCCTTTTTATGACCTCCAAGGCCAAGTGTAATCTGGCTGCTCCTGTCCCCTCCGGCAATGTACTGTGCTGCACTTTGCTGTCTGCCACATCTTACCACCCTTCTTCCATGACTTCAGACATGCAGTGCTACCTCCCATCTCAGAATCTCTGTACATCCAGTCCTTCAATCAAGCACATTCTTCCTCGCCTAAGTAATTTTACTTATTCTGGCACAGCCATTTCGTCAGAGGAACTGTTTTTGACCCTCCAGATTCAATTCAGAGACCCCTGTTATGTGCTACAGTGCCTCATTAAGTTTCAGAGCTAAAGTTACTCTTATTCCATCAAAACTTTTATAATCTAGGAATCCTCAAAAGGTAGCTCCTCTCGTATGCTGTACTCACACATTCTCCTTATTTCTACAAATACCAGGAGGCCTTCATTATAACATAGTCTCTTTTTTTTTAGATAGACTATGATCTCAAACCATGAAAACATTATAGTGGGACATTAGTGTACTTCCATTCCTTATATACTGGGACATTAGTGTACTTCCATACCTTATATACTCATGTACATATAAAACATATACTAATGTATATGTATAACATATACTGATACATAATTCGTATAGTATATATATAATAGCATATAGCATCTCATTATGAAAATTACTCAGATACTTAGTAAGCTACTTATATTAGCCATAAATTATATTAGCAAGCTAGATTCTTTTTAGTATACTTGTACAAGTATCTGTTTCTACTCCATTGTTTTTTTCAGTGGTGAATGCAGAGACTTTAGACAGACAACTAACTTCTATATTTGTGTTAGTAAGATTCTAATAACAGATTGTGGGAAGGTTTGCAAAGTTTCAGCAAGGGATACAATGCAGTCTTTAAAAATAAGACAGGTGTGTTTCACAGTTGCTTTCTCTAGGGAATCGAAAGAGAAGGGTAGGAAAATATTTAACCCACATTTAGAAGTTTGGGTCAGAAGTGATAAATAATAAAATAGTATGTTGCTACAGCTAATGAGTTTCTTTCATTTTCCCTCTCTACCTCCTAAAAAAGTGAAGTTATATATTATAGTATAATGATAAGTATAATGATAAGTATAACTCTTACTAGTTAACTACACAATCTTAGAGCCATTTCTGTAATCGTTGAGCCTCAGTTTTTCCCTCTATGTTATCAAAAAGGTGAGTTAGATGATCTCTGAATTATCTGATTTCATCTAGCCTAAGTTTTCTTCATTGGCATATATAACTTGTAAATTGGGAAGCATATTTGATCACTTGAAAGGGACACATCGTACACCAACAAAATGCTCTACATGCAATATGCCCCTAAGTCTGGGTCCCTGAGTAAACCTCCCAAAGTTATGGTGCGTATTCGACTGGGAGCTTCCCAGAGAAACCAAAGTAGTCCCTGATGAGGTAGATCAGGATCACCAGAAATTGTAATCCTCATAATTGTATCTGTATAATTGACAAATCAGAAAAGTTTAAATATTCTGTAGGCAGTCAATATAGTTAGCTATGAAATAACTTGGACAGTGGACCATCACCCAAGGGGTGTCTAAATGCATTGCCATGGGCTATAGCTGATTAATTGACATACATCAATGTAACTTGAGCGTCAAACCAACAAAAATAGTGGTGATTGAAACTGCCAGTTTTCTTCATTTCTAGGACTAATGTTTCTGCTGGGAATTCATATCAAAGTTAAAAGTATGTACTTTGGGGGCTGGGGATTTAGCTCAGCAGCATAAGCGCCTATCTTACAAGCAGGCAGTTGTGAGTTCGAACCCTGGTACCGATAAAAAGGAAAAAGACAAAAAAAAAA